ATAGGTTTTCTTTATAGAATATTATACACTTTCATGGTGAGTATTAAAAAAAGGCTGAGTTCCTTTTTATTTTATGACCTTTAAGTGACATTAAGCAAGGAATGGCATTTTTTAATTAAAAAGGCCCACCTGAGGTCAACATTATTGTGCATAAATTCCTAAAGAGATTAAGATTATTTCCACCATTAATCACTAGATGTTATCCAACATCAAAGCCTGTGACTTTCACTAAAGTTCTTTTCATTTGCTCTGGATTTTCTAGGTCTCTGTGTGTGAAATATGGATCGTGAAGTGGGAGAGAACTCCTTTGAACATGGAAGATTGGGAGCTCTCAGCCGCTGGGGGAGATTTCTTTGTGGTCCACAGAATCTCAAGTTTAAAGATATGTTTACATGGTACTGTATGTTAAAGATCTCTCGGTTTTAAAATGTTTCATATTTTGATGTTACAGCTGTCATATTGATGGTAATTTAAGAATTGTTCCTACAGGCAGTTCTGCAAAACTATTGCAATGGGTCAAGCCCTGTCAATGCTGATATGTGGGACGGCAGTTACATGTCAGTATTTGGCAGATGCCGGGGTGGAGACGCCAATGCTGCAAAGCTTCCTCAATTACACCTTGCTGCTGCTCACCTATACTTTAGTCTTAGCCTTCAGGAGAGGTACGTTGCAGCACACCTTCCCTGCATGGAGTCACTCACTGCTTTTATCAGATGATTAGAAGGGCAGAATATAATTTCCATGACCATGCTTATCATTGCTCCAGATTTTAAATGAACTTGCTTATTTCAGGATGCCTGCATGGCTTATCTTGTGGATTAAATTCTTTAAAGGGGGGGTACAATGCTGTTTCATGCATTCAGAGTTGTTTACACTGTTAAAGAGTTGGATTCTCATGCTAAGCATGGACAAAAAAAAAAAAAAAAAAATTTGGCCATATGCCGGAGAATTTCTGTGCTAAAAATCGTACTTCCGGGTTTGTACAAGTTTGAGTTTTTTTCGATCTTGGCTCTTCATGACGTAAACGAGGGTGGAACTCCTTATATGTGCATACAAAAGATATGGCTTATATTTTTATTGAATTAATCAGTTTTTATTTTTTATTTAGGTGAAAATAATATTGTTCAAATTCTAAAAACAAAGTGGTGGAAGTATTTTCTGATGGCTCTTACGGATGTGGAAGCCAACTACACAGTTGTGAAGGCATACCAGTTCACTACCCTTACAAGTATACAGGTAAGAGTATATCATTCAGTTGAAAAAAAAGACACACAAATTAATACAATAATAGTTAGAGGGCGCGTTTTCAAAATAAACAAATAGACAAAGGCGTAGATTGATGACGCCGTGACTGAGAGTGGAATCATGGGAGCTGTCGTCTTCATCCCCACAGCCGATGCAATCCAACGGGACTCGGGCAGAAATCATGTTCATGGATGAGCTAATGATTTATTAACGTAGTAGAATGAAGCAGGGTGAGGCTGAAAGCCGTCGAAGTGAAATGAGGCCGCTGAACGAGCGTGACACACGGCTCGAAAGCAGCAGAGCTTTTATTATGCCACGGTCGACCGCTTCCGCTCCTTCCGGTTGTGCGTATGTGGGGCAAAAAAGCAGGGCTGTTTTATCATACTAGATACATTTGAAAGTTCTGTTATAATGCTACTCTGTGCGGTCGCCACCGGTCTATTAAAACGCTCAATATATGAAAGCGTCTTTGGTGTTTTCTACAAAACAAAACCGAGGGTGTATGACGTCATTTGCAGGCGACACAATGACACTATAGACACGGTCCGTGTCACTAGTTAAAATTACTTATTTCTCTGGATTTAAACATTCTTCGAAACATTTGGGATAGTGTAAGTACACAAGTCAGCAAAATATATAACACTGTTCTAGTGGTTTTTGGATATTTTAATTAAAAAAATCTTACAAATTGTGCCTTTTAATATAATAACTTCTGTGTTGTAGCTGCTGGACTGCTTTGTGATCCCGGTTCTGATGCTGCTCTCGTGGATCTTCTTGAAAACTCGCTACAGACCATTGCATTTTATAGCTGTGACCGTGTGTTTGCTTGGAGTCGGTGCGATGGTAGGAGCAGATCTGCTGGCAGGGCGAGACCAAGGCTCAAGTAAGTACTTTATAATAGGGGGCAAAAAGGGGCATAATCTAATTACACCTTGATTATGCTTTTATAGATATTCGTTTGTTTTGCTTCTCATTAAACATTTGCCAAATCACGAGGGTATTTTATTCAGGTTACAAAAGATAAGATTATATAAATCTTATATAGCAGCCATATCTCCCTGCAGCCCAAGACTGGTTGCCCACTGAAGCTAAGCAGGGTTGAGCTTGGTCAGTACCTGGATGGGAGACCTCCAGAGAAAACTAGGTTGCTGCTGAAAGAGGTGTTAGTGAGGCCAGCAGGGGGTGCTCACCCTGTGGTCTGTGTGGGTCCTAACACCCCAGTGTAGTGACGGGGACACTATACTGACAAAAAGCATCGTCTTTCGGATGAGACGTTAAACCGAGGTCCTGACTCTCTGTGGTCATTAAAAATCCCAGGATGTTCTTCAAAAAAGAGTAGGGGTGTAACCCTGGCATCCTGGCCAAATTTGCCCATTGGCCTCTGACCATCATGGCCACCTAACCATCCCCATATCTGCTGATTGGCTTCATCACTCTGTCTCCTCTCCACCAATAAGCTGGTGTGTGGTGGGCATTCTGGCGCAATATGGCTGCCGTCGCATCATCCAGGTGGATGCTGCACACTGGTGGTGGTTGAGGAGATTCCCCCCTTCTATGTAAAGCGCTTTGAGTACCCAGAAAAGCACTATATAAATGTAAAGAATTATTATAAAAAGAGGACAACTAAAGAAGCTACATGAAGAATTTATCTGTGGGTTTGACTGTGGTTTTTGTTGCTTGAAATGTCATCTTGCACAAAAATAGTTGATCTTTGTGGTTTTGGGCTTTTTGTGTGTCTCTGTCACTGCAGGTCGTCATGTGTTGTTGGGGGATGGACTCGTGCTGGTCAGTGCTGCTCTGTACGCAGTATCTAACGTCTGTCAGGAATACACAGTGAAAAACTTGAGCAGGGTGGAGTTCTTGGGCATGATGGGGCTCTTTGGGACTCTCATCAGTGGTGTGCAGATGTAAGTTTTATGTCCACCATTTCATTTTCTAAGTGAAAAGCCCCCACCATGAGATATACCCCCAGTTTCACAGACAAGGCTTAAACCTAGTCCCCGACTAAAATGTAAATCTGAGCTGTCTCAACTGAAAGAAACTTGCACTGATTGATCTTGAAATATGTCAGTGCCCTTGTTTTGTCTCTAGATGCACACCAGTAATGTTTTTTTCTAAGGCATGTTTATAAAAAATGACTTTAAAATCCTAATTGAACTATGGCCTATTCCTGGTTTAAGCTAAGCCCCATCTGTGAAGCCAGGCCATAGACTCATTTTTAAAACCAAGTCTTCGTACACTATCATTCAAAATTGTGAAAATTTTTCTGGGAGTAGGATTTATTTATTTATTTTTTTGCACAAGAAATGAATACTTTTATTCAGCAAGGATGCATTCAATTTATTAACAGTGACCGTAAAGACATTTATAATGTTACAAAAGATTTATGTTTCAAGTAAATTTATTTTCTTATGATCTGAACTGAGAAAAAAAAACAAAAACAGTATGGTATCTACAAAAATGTTTAGCAGCACAATGATAATAATAGGAAATGTGACTTGAGCAGCAAATGGGCATATTATAATGATTTCTGAAGGATCGTGTGACGCTTAACTGGAGCAATGACTGCTGAAAATTCAGCTTTACCATCACAGGAATGAATTACATTTTAAAATGTATATATTTTTATATTTTAAAGGGCTATACTTGAATCCAAAGCTATACCTGTCATCAGCTGGAACTGGACAATATGTGAGTAACTCTAGTTAAATGTTTCTTTTTCATTGACATTTGCTTATAATACAATTATCTAGCCATCATTTACATTGAAATGCCAATAAATATATGTGGTAAGTTTTATGGAAATTTGAGTAACTCCAGTTCTCTTGTTTATTTGATAAATACTCTAAATACCTGTATGTTTATTCTGTAGGCCTGCTCTTTGTTGCATATACTCTGTGCATGTATGGGCTGTACAGTTTCATGCCTGTAGTGGTAAATATGACCAGCGCCACAGCTGTGAACCTCTCACTGCTGACTGCCGACCTCTTCAGTCTCTTCTGTGGCATGTTCCTTTTTCGCTACAATGTGAGTGGAAATATTACATTTTCAGCAAATCAATAAAAATGCCAGGACAAAATTTTCCAGTATCTTCAAAACAGTCCTCTTGCTAAATGATAATTGGCCAGGGGTGTTGACATTTTGAGTGGTAGCAGTGATTCTTGATATTTGGACACTTGCTTTATATAATAAATCTTTTAATGAATTAATTTTACCTACTGAGAGTTGTCTTGTTCACATTGATTTTTCAGTTTCTTACAAGTTTATGAAACTTTCCTCCCTTTTTCACAGTTCTCAGGCCTGTATATTGTGTCTTTTGTGGTGATCACACTTGGTTTCATCATGTTCAACATCGTACCGACCTACACAGCAGATCAGTCGTATGCCACTAATGACAGGGCGTATCATCTGGCTTCATCTGCAGATGTCCAGCAAGACATTGTAGTAGACTGGCTGCAAAAGGACAAGAGAATGAGGACAGCATAGGATCCAGTCACGGAGCACATTGCAACGGATTCTGTTCTCCGATATAAAGCTCTACAATGTAGAGTACAGTATTGAGTTTTACAGATTTACTTTTAAAGGGTCTATATTTTTGCCAAAAGGCAGTGTTTAATCTGTTGTTTATGGATTTTAAATCCACATCAGAGTACCTTGAGTCTGTTTTTATATTTAAACCAATTTGCATATAAATGTTATTTAAATCTGCTGAGACTGAAGTTCAGATACATTAAAAAGAAAAGCAAAATGTCGTCATGCACTACAATGATCTGGACAGTATTACCTTAAGAGGTGCTAACATCTCAATTCCATATGAGATGCTGCTTCCGGTATGATTACTTGTATTAACATTCTTTATCTTTGTAACATTCTTTAACTAACCCTTGTGTGTTATTTTTATTTGAGTTATGAAATGATTACAAAACTGTAGATCAAAAATAACTTTAGATGAAATTATTCAGCTTTTCATATTCAACTTGTTACATTTAGTGTTAGTATTGCATCCTCTTTTATGTTTATTTTGTTTAATGTATCTACATTTGAAAATTATTATTTGCAATCATTTAAAGTGGTTTTATAATTCATAGTTAATCTATAGTAGTGGTGTCTGTCAAATATGCTAACCTGGTTTTACATTATAGCATTTATGGCTTACAGAACAGATTTCAACCGTTAAAGACTCGCAAACGCTTCACCCAGACTCTCAGCCAACCCAGTGACTGCCACCAGAAGAGTTTTCAAAAAATGATAAAGTTAGACATAACCAAAAATGTCTAATAGTTATAAAATTCCAAGAATGTAAATTATATAATTAAGTGTATAGGTTTTATCTGTGGTCCCACTGGAGCAGTGGTTCTCAATTTTTTTTTTTTTAACAAAGACCCTCTGTTTTCTGACACAATATTTGAAGGCTCCTCTTTTTGAAGGCTACAAATGAAGCAGGGTGAGGCTGAAAGCCGTCGAAGTGAAATGAGGCCGCTGAACGAGCGTGACACACGGCTCGAAAGCAGCAGAGCTTTTATTATGCCACGGTCGACCGCTTCCGCTCCTTCCGGTTGTGCGTATGTGGGGCAAAAAAGCAGGGCTGTTTTATCATACTAGATACATTTGAAAGTTCTGTTATAATGCTACTCTGTGCGGTCGCCACCGGTCTATTAAAACGCTCAATATATGAAAGCGTCTTTGGTGTTTTCTACAAAACAAAACCGAGGGTGTATGACGTCATTTGCAGGCGACACAATGACACTATAGACACGGTCCGTGTCACTAGTTAAAATTACTTATTTCTCTGGATTTAAACATTCTTCGAAACATTTGGGATAGTGTAAGTACACAAGTCAGCAAAATATATAACACTGTTCTAGTGGTTTTTGGATATTTTAATTAAAAAAATCTTACAAATTGTGCCTTTTAATATAATAACTTCTGTGTTGTAGCTGCTGGACTGCTTTGTGATCCCGGTTCTGATGCTGCTCTCGTGGATCTTCTTGAAAACTCGCTACAGACCATTGCATTTTATAGCTGTGACCGTGTGTTTGCTTGGAGTCGGTGCGATGGTAGGAGCAGATCTGCTGGCAGGGCGAGACCAAGGCTCAAGTAAGTACTTTATAATAGGGGGCAAAAAGGGGCATAATCTAATTACACCTTGATTATGCTTTTATAGATATTCGTTTGTTTTGCTTCTCATTAAACATTTGCCAAATCACGAGGGTATTTTATTCAGGTTACAAAAGATAAGATTATATAAATCTTATATAGCAGCCATATCTCCCTGCAGCCCAAGACTGGTTGCCCACTGAAGCTAAGCAGGGTTGAGCTTGGTCAGTACCTGGATGGGAGACCTCCAGAGAAAACTAGGTTGCTGCTGAAAGAGGTGTTAGTGAGGCCAGCAGGGGGTGCTCACCCTGTGGTCTGTGTGGGTCCTAACACCCCAGTGTAGTGACGGGGACACTATACTGACAAAAAGCATCGTCTTTCGGATGAGACGTTAAACCGAGGTCCTGACTCTCTGTGGTCATTAAAAATCCCAGGATGTTCTTCAAAAAAGAGTAGGGGTGTAACCCTGGCATCCTGGCCAAATTTGCCCATTGGCCTCTGACCATCATGGCCACCTAACCATCCCCATATCTGCTGATTGGCTTCATCACTCTGTCTCCTCTCCACCAATAAGCTGGTGTGTGGTGGGCATTCTGGCGCAATATGGCTGCCGTCGCATCATCCAGGTGGATGCTGCACACTGGTGGTGGTTGAGGAGATTCCCCCCTTCTATGTAAAGCGCTTTGAGTACCCAGAAAAGCACTATATAAATGTAAAGAATTATTATAAAAAGAGGACAACTAAAGAAGCTACATGAAGAATTTATCTGTGGGTTTGACTGTGGTTTTTGTTGCTTGAAATGTCATCTTGCACAAAAATAGTTGATCTTTGTGGTTTTGGGCTTTTTGTGTGTCTCTGTCACTGCAGGTCATCATGTGTTGTTGGGGGATGGACTCGTGCTGGTCAGTGCTGCTCTGTACGCAGTATCTAACGTCTGTCAGGAATACACAGTGAAAAACTTGAGCAGGGTGGAGTTCTTGGGCATGATGGGGCTCTTTGGGACTCTCATCAGTGGTGTGCAGATGTAAGTTTTATGTCCACCATTTCATTTTCTAAGTGAAAAGCCCCCACCATGAGATATACCCCCAGTTTCACAGACAAGGCTTAAACCTAGTCCCCGACTAAAATGTAAATCTGAGCTGTCTCAACTGAAAGAAACTTGCACTGATTGATCTTGAAATATGTCAGTGCCCTTGTTTTGTCTCTAGATGCACACCAGTAATGTTTTTTTCTAAGGCATGTTTATAAAAAATGACTTTAAAATCCTAATTGAACTATGGCCTATTCCTGGTTTAAGCTAAGCCCCATCTGTGAAGCCAGGCCATAGACTCATTTTTAAAACCAAGTCTTCGTACACTATCATTCAAAATTGTGAAAATTTTTCTGGGAGTAGGATTTATTTATTTATTTTTTTGCACAAGAAATGAATACTTTTATTCAGCAAGGATGCATTCAATTTATTAACAGTGACCGTAAAGACATTTATAATGTTACAAAAGATTTATGTTTCAAGTAAATTTATTTTCTTATGATCTGAACTGAGAAAAAAAAACAAAAACAGTATGGTATCTACAAAAATGTTTAGCAGCACAATGATAATAATAGGAAATGTGACTTGAGCAGCAAATGGGCATATTATAATGATTTCTGAAGGATCGTGTGACGCTTAACTGGAGCAATGACTGCTGAAAATTCAGCTTTACCATCACAGGAATGAATTACATTTTAAAATGTATATATTTTTATATTTTAAAGGGCTATACTTGAATCCAAAGCTATACCTGTCATCAGCTGGAACTGGACAATATGTGAGTAACTCTAGTTAAATGTTTCTTTTTCATTGACATTTGCTTATAATACAATTATCTAGCCATCATTTACATTGAAATGCCAATAAATATATGTGGTAAGTTTTATGGAAATTTGAGTAACTCCAGTTCTCTTGTTTATTTGATAAATACTCTAAATACCTGTATGTTTATTCTGTAGGCCTGCTCTTTGTTGCATATACTCTGTGCATGTATGGGCTGTACAGTTTCATGCCTGTAGTGGTAAATATGACCAGCGCCACAGCTGTGAACCTCTCACTGCTGACTGCCGACCTCTTCAGTCTCTTCTGTGGCATGTTCCTTTTTCGCTACAATGTGAGTGGAAATATTACATTTTCAGCAAATCAATAAAAATGCCAGGACAAAATTTTCCAGTATCTTCAAAACAGTCCTCTTGCTAAATGATAATTGGCCAGGGGTGTTGACATTTTGAGTGGTAGCAGTGATTCTTGATATTTGGACACTTGCTTTATATAATAAATCTTTTAATGAATTAATTTTACCTACTGAGAGTTGTCTTGTTCACATTGATTTTTCAGTTTCTTACAAGTTTATGAAACTTTCCTCCCTTTTTCACAGTTCTCAGGCCTGTATATTGTGTCTTTTGTGGTGATCACACTTGGTTTCATCATGTTCAACATCGTACCGACCTACACAGCAGATCAGTCGTATGCCACTAATGACAGGGCGTATCATCTGGCTTCATCTGCAGATGTCCAGCAAGACATTGTAGTAGACTGGCTGCAAAAGGACAAGAGAATGAGGACAGCATAGGATCCAGTCACGGAGCACATTGCAACGGATTCTGTTCTCCGATATAAAGCTCTACAATGTAGAGTACAGTATTGAGTTTTACAGATTTACTTTTAAAGGGTCTATATTTTTGCCAAAAGGCAGTGTTTAATCTGTTGTTTATGGATTTTAAATCCACATCAGAGTACCTTGAGTCTGTTTTTATATTTAAACCAATTTGCATATAAATGTTATTTAAATCTGCTGAGACTGAAGTTCAGATACATTAAAAAGAAAAGCAAAATGTCGTCATGCACTACAATGATCTGGACAGTATTACCTTAAGAGGTGCTAACATCTCAATTCCATATGAGATGCTGCTTCCGGTATGATTACTTGTATTAACATTCTTTATCTTTGTAACATTCTTTAACTAACCCTTGTGTGTTATTTTTATTTGAGTTATGAAATGATTACAAAACTGTAGATCAAAAATAACTTTAGATGAAATGATTCAGCTTTTCATATTCAACTTGTTACATTTAGTGTTAGTATTGCATCCTCTTTTATGTTTATTTTGTTTAATGTATCTACATTTGAAAATTATTATTTGCAATCATTTAGCAAATGGCTGCAATATAACAAAGAGTGAAAAATTTAAGGGGGTCTGAATACTTTCCGTACCCACTGTATATTAATTTAAATAATAGCAAGTCATCCTGGAACCCCCTTGAAAGTTTGTTGAGACCCCTTTAATGAGGACCACAGAATATCTTTATGGACCTCTTCAAACCCTGATTCTAGAAAAGCAAATACATACCTGTAAATACCAAATTATGAAAAAACAATTCTATAGAATATATATGTATACTTTCCGTACCCACTGTATATATATATATATATATATATATATATATATATATATATATATATATATGTGAGTTTTGTCTGTATGTAAAGGAGTGAGAGGTCTTCTGGGGTCTTTCTTCGCCGTGCGGCACAGCAGCGCTGCATTGCGATGGTCAGAAGCGACCGCCCTCCCCTAATTCACATGCTCATCATGGAGGAATAACGGGTACCTGCTTTACAGAGAGAGGAGGACAGGCTTATTCCCATTCCCAGCGACATCTTGAAACGTATGTTCTTGTCATTTATTTATCTTTTATCAGATACACTGATGTATTATTTGATACGCTGTTTTCACACGACCATGTGTGGTGTAGAATAGAGAAGAGCGCAGAAGAACACCTATTGCAAGATGAAATAGTCTCGACGGTAAATGACTCCTATTGTCAGTATTATATAACCCATGCTATCTGAATGTATTATAAACGGCTCATTTGTCATGAAATAACGCAGCAGACATTAAATATGTGAACGTGGATGTGTAGACCATGTGTTGGTTGTTGAAGCAGTTGCCCACGGCAACGTCTTAATCCGCCTAACGCCACACTACTGACGACCTCGAGACATTATCGCTATTTGTATTCACGACGGTTGAATGCAATACAACGATTACATAAAGATACACTGTAGTTTTCATTTTGAATTATGTTTTGTGCAGGTGGTCAGACTATTCGCGAATGTGAGTTATACTGTTGTAGCAAAGCAGACAATCGCGATGAAGCATTTTCTAAGGTAAGTACGTCCTTAGTGCTTAATAGTGATACATCGCTTCTTATTGCTTAGAACCTGAAATATCATCGTTGTCATTGTCCATTTTTAAAGATGCACATTCAATTTACCGTTATGCGGATTTTTTTTTTTATTGCATGCTTTGTAGTATGGCCCACTTATGTCATGGATGTTGAAACAAAAACAGAAACCAAATAATTATTAATTATTCTTATCAGGTATTATTATTATGATTATATTATCATTTTATTATTATTATCATTATCATCAGAATAATATGAGTTTAAATTACATGCATTATTGCACAATAATAACAATTTGTGTTTGTGTGTGTGTATGTATATATGTATGTGTGTATATATATATATATAGGCTATATATATATTATCGCTATTATGGAACATAGCCTGCTTCACATTTTTAAGCACATTTTTATTATTATTTTATTATAGTATTTTGTATTATTGTTAAAATATCCTAATTATAAAATATTAATAAACATAAACTTATTAGTGTTATTATCTTTAATTATTTATTTTATTATATATTTAAAAATACTGATTATGAAAATGTAAAATGTAAAAAACTGATAAATACCTTTTAAATAAACAATTCCTTGGTGAGTCGTCCCCTGCCTTTCAGTTTTAGGTGCTTTCCTATCAGCCACTCCTCTTAATTATATTGTTTACAATAAATGATGTTGAAAGGCACTAAACCTAATAAGAGGTTGCTCCAAATGTACCAGTATAGATTTGTATTTCACCTAGATATTTAGAGGTAGAGACCCCTATAATGCAATATCAGAACTGGCTTTTATTAAAGTCCTGGAAAAGGAAATTACCTTCAGGACACGTCACTTCTGTTCAACAACTTTGATAGACAATAACCTGTTTTACAAAACACAGGTTTGACCGCAAATCCATTTCATGCTGATGGGGAGGCGAGTCTATCATGTGAGCAGTAACTCTCAATGTAATCAGCAACCGGATTCAAACAGGTTTATTCCTAGTCCAATGCGTTTCCTGTAGTGAATTAGCCTGCAGTTAGATTAGTATATAATATAGATGGATGGATTCATCCATGCATTGGTTCAAAACAGATGCATAGTAGATGTCAGTAAGTCCTTTGGTGTACACATACTGCTTGATACATGCAGGACATGAAACCTGTTTAAAGAATAATACTTTCAAAATTATATTTCGCTTTCATCACGCAGATTTTTGTTGAACTGTGACCCATTTCATCATCGTGGACCACATGTCTCTGTCTCGAATTTTTACAATGGGGATTAGGCCTAGCTTTTGTAGGCATCAGAGCATTATAAGAGGAAAATAATGTGCATTTCTCTTTGAACAGCTCGAACAGTGTTCATGGGAAACACATCTGATGGTTATTCAGTTCAGGTTTAGAGTACTCAAATATAATGAGCTTTCAAAATACCTCAGTGAGTACACTTTATTCTGGGACAGAATACACAGGTGTATTAGGCCTATCATCAGTATTGGACTTGTGTCATTTTATTCAGGCCTCTTTATTTCTCTGAATCTTCTAGGGTACTGGCCCAGTTACTGGTGTTCCTGTACTGTAAGTGTTTGTGGAGGGGCCTGAAGTTTGTCATCAGGAAGTTGACTGGACGATGTGAGCTTCAACGCATCTGTTACAATAACAAACCCGGTGCTCGAAGGACACTCAAGATCGGTAAATACTATCAGTAATTTTACAGCAAAGTACATCTACAGCAAAAAACACTACATCTGTAACCTGGCTGTATGTGGGAAAAATTTGATATTATTTTATGTTCCTTTTAATTTCACAGAATCCTCACTCAAATGCTCTAAACATGAGGTAAGTCATGAGGTTTATGAAGTAAAATAAATTTTTTAAATTTAAATGTATTTTCTTTTACACATTTATTGTATTATTGTATTTTTATTTATATATTTAATAATAACATTAAATGGTATGTATTTTGTAATTTTATGTAAATTTAGTAGTATTATTTAAATACTATTGTATTATTTATTCATATTTTGCTTATAATAGCTTTTATTTGTATAATATTTTCAGTTTTAATTTGATGTCATTTTTGCATATTTTACATATTTTTTTATTTAGCTTAGCTTTAGCTTTATTTAATTTTTTATTTCAGTTTTACTCATTTTAGTACTTACGCTTATTTCAGTTGCTTGGCAAGGCATCGTTTTTAATTTAGTTTTTTTTACTTTTCATCTAACGTTTATTTTATTCCAGCTTTATTTAAATTAAAATGATTATTTAATACTATTAGTTTTATTTAACAATAACAACACTAATTATAAGCTGATTTAAGGCCCATCTCAAACTACAAGAAGGCTAAATATTTTACATACTGTATTATGCTGTTATTTTGTATATTAGCTAATAATGGAATACTCTTTTTTTTAAATGACTGTACTTCCATAGCTTTTGCAGTCTGCCATCAACATTCACCCAGATTCTGTGGAAAAGACTATCGATGATATAATGTCCCTGAAAAAGATCAACCCTGACACTAACCCACAGTAAGGATCCCATCATTCCCTGATACAGTGTATGCATTTACAGATAACTCTTACTTTTTGAGCACATATGCTGTTTCTTTTCTTCTTCCAGGCTTGGCATCTCTCTCCAGGCTTGCCTGCTCCAGATCGTGGGTTACCGAAACCTAGTAGTGGAGGTGGAGAAGCTGCGTAGAGAGCCGTATGCCTGTGAAAACCCAGCACATGAGGAGATGCTCATGAAGGTATCAACAGCAACTCACTATTAGCGGTTGCCAGCCTTTTAATGACTGTTTCTAATAAATATATATAGGTGGCTACCATTCACAATGTAGCACAATGTTGTCTCTAATAGTGATGCCTTTCTCAAATATCTTTTCACTCACCAGCTGTGGAAGGAACTCCGTCCTGATTCTCCTCTCTCTGGACGCATCTCAAAGCAATGGTGTGAGATTGGTTTCCAAGGAAACGACCCCAAGACTGATTTCAGGGGCATGGGTCTCCTGGGTTTGCACAACCTACTGTGAGTAGAGAATCTGCTGAAGTGAAAGGACAAAAACATTAGATCGTTATAGTCATTTAAATGTATGTACTAGTGTGAAATTTTGTTCTCTACATCATACCAGATCTTAACTCTGTTCCAAAACACAGCGTGTCTTTGCGGTCTAGTAACTACACAGGCCTTCTGGAAACATAATAACCATCATGGAAACTCATAAAAGACCAATCTGAAATGCTCTACTACGTACTGTAGGCTTGTGCTATTATAATAGCAATAGATTTTGATATTAGCATGTTGCTAAGCTAACAACATAATACCATTATCGGCTAAACATTAATATAGCCTACATAGCTTACACTGTGTAAAATAATTCTTAAATTAGACTGAACTGGTTTTTATCAGTTAGCGATAGGTTTTGACATTAGCATATTGCTAAGCTAACAACACCATACTCGATTAAGCAAAAAATACATAACTTTGGGTAAGATACGTTTTTGACTTACCTAGTTTTTATCAGTTAGCAAAAGATTTTGATGTTAGCATGTTGCTAAGCTAGCAACAGCATACTCTATTAAACATTAAATACATAACATACATAGGAAAAAATACGTTTTTAAATTATACTAAACTAGTTTTATGAGTTATCAATAGATACACCATACTTAAAAAACCTACATAACATACATTAGGTAAAATATATTTTTAATTAAATTAAACTAGTTTTTATCAATACTTTTTACTAATGAGTGAAATATATGTATTTAAAAAAAAAATCATTTTGTTTGCCGCCTTAGATTTTTCTTTGAGCTTGTTGCAGTGCCTTAGCATTTGCTCAGGTAGCATAATTAAGAGGCCTAGCTTTTGAAACACGATGTCAGGAGGAGCGCACTTACTGTATGTGGCCTAAAAATGCAGTCTACATAGGCAGCTCACTAGGTTTTTGAACAGAACAATTCAATGGCTAATCTTCCCTCTTTTATTTGCAGGTATTTTGCAGAGCATGACAAAGCCACCGCTCTCCAAGTTCTTCATGACTCTCTGCAGCCCAAACACAGGTCAGATCCTTCAGATAATCCTTTTGAGTGGTTCCTACTGTATATACTCAGTTATTTATATATATAAAAAAGTACCCATGATATCACTGATGTGCTTTAAGGCACATTTAAGCTTTAAACACACATTAGCAAACACGCACAAAAAGCAACACACAGCACCAGGATCTTGCCACAGGATGTCGGTTATGGGTGTAGTTCCCCAGAAAGCTCTTATCAGTGCAATGCTTTATGCTGTGTGTGCATACCATGTTTATTTTAACAGGTGATTTTTTTTCAAGCCGTGCAGTCGATCACACCTTCAGCATGCTCTGTTACCATCATGCACATCATGCACCCACACATTCCTTTTTTTCTGTTCCTGCTCCTGCTTTTTTTATTCTCATCACTGTCATGCGCAGGAACGTTTCCAAAGAGGAAGCCAGGTACTCCATCTTTTCTCTCTCAGTAAGAAATTCATTTGATCATTTTGCTTCAATCTAATGGCTGTATTATGTTGTTGTTGTTGTTATTTTTTAATCTCGAAACGTCCAACCTCACCTCACTCTAAACACAAGGCATTATGCTCCATTATAACGTTGGTTAGTTACTGTGAATGCTTTCTCTTTTCTCCAGTCAATCTTACGTGTGTAATTGTCGTATTGTTTATAGTTGACTGCATTATAGTCACCGTTTAAGCACTATTAGCACAGGACTGGGTGGATACACTCTAACATTTTGGGTTTTCACACAGCAAGATGAGCAAAGCTGATTGGGACAAGAAGAAATTTGACAAAGCGATTGGGTGAGTCCAGAATATTGCAAGCTCTTGCATAAACTCTTTTCATTTGTGCCAGTAAGCAACCAAAGAAGCAGTTCTTAAATCTGTGAATGTTAAAAATAATTGTGCTGTGTGTGCAGTAGTTATTAGTAGCCGAGCGCCTGAACCCTGATGCTTTGTGTGAGGATTTGAATCAGGCTCTTCTACTTGTCATGAGCTTTCAGGATGCATTAGCTCTGATGTGTAGCACGCAGTGGCGGCTCGTCGGGGGAGGCAGGGGAGGCACAGCTTCCCCATAATTTTGAGGTGAAAATAGGAGGAGGACGATTTAATGTTAATAAAATTCGCAATTAATTTCAGTTCATGTCTCAGAATGTGTATTTTTTGTTTGTAATTTCACAGATGTAATACCATAAAGTGAAAGTGCCGCTTTTCTATCGTGAATGTGCCGAATCTGCTGATGTAATTACAACCGCTAATGATAGAGAAGGCTAGGGGGAGGCCGGGTGTGTGCTGAGCTCTCGTGCCTCCGTTGGTAAAAAAAAAAAGTAGCCAATCACCATCGAGTGTTCACTTTCGGCGCTGAGGAGTGTTGAGAAAAGAAACCTCGTAAGGGAGGCTAGCCTCCCTTCTGATATCAACCAATCATCACAGAGACGTAAATTACGTGATATTAGTTTGAACGTCTGCCGCTGCGCTGATAATGTACCAAGCACTTATGATGAGTAGCGATATTGAGTATTTGATTGCCAACAAATTTACTAAGCTGTCATTCAAACAGTATATATACAAATTTAGGGAAAACAGCCTAAGCTGGATATAGGCTACAGCAGTAGGCTTAATTAAATGGCACAACAGGCAGCTCTCTTTTAACACAGAATTTTAAGAAGGGATGGATGTTTGCTTCAAGTGATAGGCCAGGTAAGTGAAGTTATATTGCTGTATGTATGTCGTTTTCTTTACGTTTTCTGACTAAAAGCAACCAAAAAGCCATTTTAAAGTGGTTAAGCAAACAATAATAATAATCGGCAGGGATCCCAGACTAATACAATTAGTGTGCCTCCTCTATTTTAAAACCCACGAGCCGCCACTGGTAGCATGAAGCCTGTTCAATCACTGCGCTGCAGACATGTGCGCACACAGACACAATTAAAGCACAGAACAGATGGAATCACACAGACAAACACTGGCAGTGTCTTAACTTTTTATGATGCTTATTTACACTAAACAAGGATTTCTTTTACATTGTGTTTTGTGCTGACCCAAATCTTTTGTGGCGCAGATACTCCTTTGCCATAGTTGGCATAAACATCACAGACCTGGCATATTCCCTGCTGGTGAGTGGGGCTCTGAAGACTCATCTGTACAATGTGGCACCAGAGATGCCAAGTCTAGTGCACTTTCAACAGACCTTCTGTGAGTGTTAGAATGTTGCCATTGTTGTCCTTGTGAAAACAACTCTTGTAGGCGATTTATTAAATAATATTACACAATTATATAATTATGTATTCATGTAAATTATATAAGTAAAATTATTAATAAAGCTTCAATAAAAGAGTATAATAATAATAATAATAATAGTTATTATTATATATTTGTGGACAAATTATATAATTTATATAATTCAAATTATTGGTTTTAAATTATACAATTACTGTAAAAAAATATTAAATATAAAAATACATGAAAAAATACAATATTATGATATTTCTATCAGTCTATCTATCTGTATGCTATCTATATACGTACAATATTTTTTACATACAATTTGTAAAAATGATATAGCTTTTTATAATATTATATATATATAATATTACAGTTATTTAAGGTGTATTGTTGTTTATTTATTTTTTGTTTTCTGTGTTTTAATTATAATTGATTTTTCTTAGGTTATCTGATGCAGGAGTTCCACAGATTCTGGATCGAGGAAGATCCACGTGACATCATGGAGTTCAATTGCGTGCGCACCAAGTTCCACAAGCACGTCCTGAAGCAGCTGAAGAACCCTGACATGGCACTGTGTCCTCACTTCACTGCCTCTGACCTTCACCTGGTCAACCTGTAGCTTCTCATTCATCTCAACTCTCATGACCTTTCACCTCCTCATCCTTAAAGCCCATGTCACATTACTGCCAACTGCTTAGCCGGTCTCTTTCTCACACATTCTCACACCAATGTCTCCTTCAGCCCATCCGACCCGACGTTACTGAAGATCACCAGCACTGCTGAAGACCATGTTGATTGTACGTGTGCATGGCAACAGATCACCACCTTACAGCTTTCACACTGATTGTGATATTTACAGCTATCTGAATGTGGATGGGAGAAAGATCTCTCCCGATAGGACAAAGTTCCCTATCCACCAGTAGGTAGAGCTGTTGGTACGTATTGGGTAAGACACTGAGCTTCAGGTGCGCAAGAGTTTTTACCCACATCCACCACAGTAGGCTGCGCTGATACCAGGCACACTTAGAAACAGGTGGCCATTGTTTGTATACGCTATCATACAGTTTCAGAGCTGCTATATTAAAGATAACCTTTGTTTAATTATTGTAAATCTTTTAAAGGAATATTCAAGATTCAGTACAAGTTAAGCTCAATCAACAGTACCTTTGGTATAATGTTGATTGCGACAAAAATATTCTTTAAAAAAAACAAAATCTGGCTTACAGTGACATTTACAATGTAGGTAAATGGGGCCAATTTGTAAATATTAAAATACTGTTCCAATACTGTAGCCATAAGAAGATACACGTGTATAATTGCAGTGTGAAATACTAACCTTTTCTGTGTAAAGTTATTTACAATTTTATAACATTATTGGCATGACAACCCTTAAAACAATTGTAAATACGATGATTTAAACAGATTGACATCTCAAATAATACATACATTTTATCAGAAGAATTCATATTAGTGCTTTTATGGTATTATAAGTGTCAAATTTCTGCTTTTAAACACTTTAAAATGGGCCCCATTCATATCCACTGTGGGTGGCTCACTGTAAGCCAGATTTTATTATTATTATTTAAAAAAAGGGAAGAGTCGACATACATTTTTGTGGTATTCAACATTATCCCACAGATAATGTTACGTCTAACTCGCATTGAACCCAGAACAATCCTTAAAATGGAAATGATTTCAGCTTGCTGTATTTACAGATGATTATTCATTCAGAATTTCATAACCATTATTGTCACTCTCATATTCTGAATCTCATTCTTCTGTCACATACGTACAGTACATACTGTAGACTACATGTTGCCAAGAAGCAGAGCTTAAAATCAAATATTCACTTTCCACATATGGTAGGATAATGTGTGTTTTGTGAATGTTATCATGCAGAGCACATGATTGTTTTACAAATGCATTAGTGTTGATGTAAACAAAAAAAAAGATGGAATGTTCCATTTTTCTGTTCTAGCACCAAAGCAATAAGTGACGTTTAGAACATTTAGTAGAACAGTCTTGTTTTCTTTTGCACACGTGGTGCCTCTGTTGTATTAAGACACTAATTAGCATAATTAATGTATAACTCGCTTTGTCAACTAAGTTTTGCCCTCAGTGTGAGTATTTCAGGCTTTCTTTGGTCTCTTCTGCATTTCTTTCACTTTTACAGCTGTCACATCACAAATGCATGTTGCTCTTTTGTTTAAGTTTGTCCATTAACCCTTTAACATGATGGACGGTCACAGGGTTTGCATGATGATCTAGTTTTTGCCTGCAAAAAATTGTATCAGAATGTCACTTCATTTTAATGTTGTTAATCGGTGCAATGAATGTCTATGCTATTGGCAGTGTTAAGCAGCTTCTTTTTAATAGCTATTGGTTGAACTGTGTTTCCACATGATTTTTAAATGTGTAAAAAGTGTCATATATTTCTCATTGCAGCACTTTTACAGATGAGACAGAAGCACTTGCTGTACATAAAGCCTTAGAGGTGGAATACATGGAAACATTATTAAAGCTCATCATTATGCATGGCTGAATGTTTATGTATTTGTAGGGTTTTTATATTCTCTTTCACATGTATAAATACTCTTTCCCACAAAAACAATATAGGATGCTTTGAGTTATCAGAAAATTAAATAATTGTTCTGGGGTGCTTTATAAAAAAAAAGGCTGCATGAAATGAAAAGCAATTACCATCATTTTAAAACATAATTGATTCTTAGAATTCTTGTTAAACAGGCTTTAAACTGAGAAAGTTTGTACAAATTATGGATATGTTCAGCATGTTAAATCTACTGCTTCCATTCTAAATAGCTAAAATGTATAGAAAAATACATACAAATTATCAAATAAATTAAAGCTATAAAATGTAAAACTTTTCACATTATGCAAATTTTCTGTATTCACAGATTACCTGACAACCTACCACGTTTTGCAATTTTGACTTGCGTCTCATATTTCCATATGAAGCCAAAACAATAAATCAAAATCTCTTATAATTATAAAATTATAATATTCCCTTATAAAATCTGAAGAAATTTGTGGATTTTCTAATGTAATACAACTATATAATACATGTATATTTATTAAAAAATAATAATGACCACGTTATTAAGTATTAATGATAGCAAAATAATTTCATAAATGATTTCAAAAAGATTTACACTTTCGGAACATGGAATGTCTTTAGAACTGTTAAACTTATAAAAAAAATAAAAAAAAACTTCTATACTAAGAATATGGAATATGTATTTTCAAAAGCAAACTGTAATGATAAAAACACTTCATAACAAAAATTAGTAGTCCTTGCCGCCATGGACTCATCGTGGTCCAGGAACCCATTGTCCTCTAGTCTCTAATGTTTGAATCTGGACCTTAAAACAAATAATATTTGTGCATTATAAGCCCAAACATTTTACAAAAATACATGTGTGGCATTTAACTTTCTTAATGCATATTTTACCAATTGAATTACATAGTATAATTGGCTCTCCCTGTCAAAACATGCTGTCCCACTTTTGAAACATCCTTTTCTAAAGTGGGAGGACACAGATGGCTTCAAATAGAAAATATTCTTAACACATTTTAATAATAATATTGCAAAATTTGATGTACAATTACATCACACATTTATATCCTTAACATTAGTTTTGTCTAAATCCTGTCACTGACCTTTGAGTGAACTTCACAAGAGGTACTTCCTGTTTGATGAATTTCATAGCCACATTTATGACATAATTTCCAGAAAATTGAGTGATTTCAATAACTTGACACCCCTGCTTGAATTCAACACCAATCATGTTCACTTTAATGTTGTAAAAGAAGAGATAAACGCACTGAAACTTAGGTGTCCCACATTAGTCAGTGTCCAATTTTACACTAATTCACTAATAAATAAAGCAATTATAAAACATAAAACTGAAATAAAAAATAAATCTATACATAATTATTATTAATAATAATAATAATGACAAAATCATATCATAAAATTACTATATTGAAAACTGAAAATATAAAAAAACAATTGTAATACTAAATAAAACCGCCACAAACAAAAATAAGTGTTATTCAGAGTTTGATCGCATGGGGGCAATAACGTTCAAGCTATTGCGAGCATATTCTCTGTCAGGATTCTCGTTCATCCTCGAATGCATTTATGCTAACGGTTATGTTTGGAGAAAGCAGATGCGGATACAGAATGACTGATGTTGTGCTTCGAAGAAGGAAATCTAAATAATAAGTACCCATATACCTAATGTGTAACATTAATTATTTATAAGATTATTATTTAACATTATTATTCATAAGACATCCCCGCGAAACTGAAACATCATTTATAAAAGATGTCAACCCAGCTGAAAAACATCTTCAGTCAGCCTAGGCTGATCTGCTAGTCTCCCAGACTGGCCTGACTGATCTGTCGACAGTTTTAGATGGGGTTTGTGCACTTTTAGCTGGTCAGACTGGGAGACCATCTTAGCTATGACCAGTTTCTAGGCCAGCAAACCTGGTTTAAGATTTTTCACCAGAAGACACACAATATTTAGTTGCATTGCCAGTGATTATGCAAACTTACAAAGGAAAAGTGCCTCATATCTGAGACTTCAATGCCTGTGTGGTGACAAAAGTGCACACAAGGTGTTCAGTCTTGTCATAAACACAGGTTATGGTTTAGACAGGACTGTTATCTGCCCACTCATAACAGTCGAGGCCTAACAGGACATGACAGCCAATCTGACATCAGACACACTCTGTCACACGCAAGTTCCTGTTTCCCCAACATGTGCACTATTGTGGAGCGGTCAGTGACAGCGTTTAGCATAATGTCCAAACATTTCATGACAGGGATGTCGAGAGGCATTAAGAACCCTTTTAGCATGATAACAAATAATAAGAAGAGCTCAAAGCGAAACGGGGCATTACCAGCATCAACCAATAGCCTATATAATTCACAGAACACATCAGTTCATAGACTTATTGATGGATTTTGCATATATGGATTTGCACTTCAAGTATACTGTATTTTCCACCTGTGTCCTGCAATAGGGTGTCTGGAATGACTAAATAACATGCTACTTCTAGATGCACTGTAGTATACACTGCAGTATATAGCCTACTTTATGTGAAGTATGCAGTAACTATGTTAGCATTTGGTTTCATACTTTCTTATTAATGACTAGTTTGGAAGGAAATTATACTTACTGCATACAATGCAGGCTATTCTGCATACTATTTGTTAAAGATAATGGAAGCAGTATGCTTTAGATTTGACAATACTGGTTTATAAATGCAAAATAATTTCTTATTTACAAAATGATTCTCATTTACTTAATACTTCAGATATAATACAATTATGTCAGTATGCCTTTTTAAACATAGCATATGTGTGTTTGGAATGATAGCCTGTAGGCTACTATTAAAGTACACCTACCGTGATTTGCAGTCTATACTGTTTATTTGCAGTATGCAGTAACTGCTTTAGGATTCCATTTTGATTCAACAGTCCTCTGTTTCCATTGGCTATGTTTGGAATGCAATACTACTATACTGTTTAATGCATACACTGTATACTGCATACTAGTTGCTAAACATTATAACTGATCATATAAATGATCATTTGTTTTTTTATTTAATATTGAAAGCCGAAAAATGAGAAAATGGCTCCTTTTTCGTGTTTTCGTTTTTCTCCAAAACACGAAAAACGAGAATTCAGCTTAAATTTTCGTTTTTCGTTCTTGGGTGGAAAAATGAATAAACAACTTGAATGTTGGATTTCTACAAGTGGGCGGGAATTAAACGCCCCTTTCTGCTGATTGGTCAGCCGAAGATCAAACCGTGCCATCATCAGCTCTTCTGCAGTATCATGCAGCAGAATAATAGTCCTCCACTGCTGCAGTTGTAGGGATTAATAACCCATTTTATTGCAACCACATTTCATATTTTTCTCATCAAACAGACTAATGAATAGCTCGACACAACTCGTACCGGGGCAGAGTCTACAGGTCTTTCTTCTGTGTAGACCAGCAGTACTTAAAGTGATAGGGGGTCCGCAAAATAATTTGCTATAGCCTAAAGTATTTCCAGACTGTAAAGTGTTTTTTTAATCATAATACATAGGCCTACTGTGATTTATTCCAAAGTGATTTATATGATGCATTTAATGTAAAATAATCTAAATGAAGCCTTTTAAAAGACAAGTATTCCCTGTGGTTCATGTTTGTGGCATGTGCCGGAAAGATGCTCAAGGAGACCGAGACGCGCTAAAGCAGCGCATTCTGTTGTTCTCTTTATTTTTCAAAGGCATGACATTTTGTAGTTATTTTGAACGTAACGTTACACAAATAAAAATAAATTTTACCATACGACTATAAATGACAGAGTATTAAGTTATTTCCCCTCGATGGGGGAAAAAATCCAAGTGAACATCAATCAGTACTCAATATTAATTTAAACTGCATTAAATATGACTGCTGCTTATTTCCTGTGCAATACTGGTCTGCGCTTGAATGTAGTCGCGTCAGTCTGCTTATTGAGTTTATTTAACCCATCGCAATTTATTGGAACTGTGTGAACTAGAGTGACTACTCACCTTAATGTTGTTCTAAAGGGTTATTACTTAATAACACAAAAATGTCCTGCTCGCACTTACCAATTTAATGGCAGAGAATGGTGACTTTATTTTATTATAGTTTGATGAAAAAAGACTAAATGTAGTTGCAATAAATGCGTTAAGAATCCATACAACTGCAGCAGCGGAGGACTATTATTCTGCTGCATGATACTGCGCATGATACTGTTTGATCTTCGGCTGACCAATCAGCAGAAAGGGGCGTTTAATTCCCGCCCACATGTAGAAATCAAATATTCAAGCTGTTTATTAATTTTTCCACCAAATGTTTTGGAGAAAAACGAAAACACGAAAAAGGAGCCATTTTCTAATTTTTCTGCTTTCAATATTAAATAAAAAACCGAATGATCGAATGATACACGGATTGTTAACGCAGCACGTATTAACAGAGGCCGATTTGGATGTCTGCATGCTCCATTTTTAGCTGAGGCTCCTCACAGCTTCATCCTATTTGACCTTGAGGGTTGATAATAGTTCCTCGTGGTTTATATATCACTAGAGATCGCTAGGAGATTTTTTTCCTAACATAAAGACCTAATAGGCTATATATTTAAAATAATAAATTAGTCATGTTACGATTCTGAACCTGAGCTAAAATCTAAAGATAAATAGACATGAAATGTGTGTTCTGCACTGTGAGCTCGCTAGATAACACATAAACTGATGAGTATCGTACAGAGGTGCTCATTTTGAGATTGTCCTGGATGTCACTCCTCAAGGTCATTATTAGCGTGACTGTCTGTGTTCTAACATATGTACCAACATCTGTTATAGGAGGGCATTTAGATTTTCAGCGCCAACCGCTGTTTTCATGCAATATTTATTTGTATTCCCATCATGCACTGCTTTACCCTTTCTGCAAGGATTCTTGTAAGGGGAAAAAATTTGACTATTTACTGTAATGTTAGTGCTTTG